GACTTTCCAAGTTGGAAGGGGGAAAGCAAACAGGTACAATTCCTTGAAATTGGAAAAGGTGTCCTCTTGTTGCCTCCAAGTGTCTGTGAACAATCAACACAGAAACAATAACTGATTGATCAGTACAGGGCCAGTTTTCAGACAGGACATATGGGTTGCTCAAGATGTATAATTGTGAGAAAACCTGCATAAATCTTTGGATCTGACTAGGTTTCTGGTCAGCATAACCTGGGTTCTTAGTTAATGGTCTCTAAATAGCAGGTAGAGGTGGTCCAGTTTACTAGGGCTAGGTTCAAATGGGACAATAAGGTTCTCTCCCAATTTCCACAATTTAACAAACTTTTCTTACAAGACAGAATTTGGATTAGACCCATACTTGAAGAGAAAAGGAACTGAGCTGAGTCACGAGATGGAGTCAATATTGTTGACTTAATTCCCACAATTAACCACCTTGCTGTCCTAATCCCCTCAGTTTTCTCATCTATAAAGTCTGATTTGGTTCCCATGTGTTAGGATCTATGCTCCACCCAATTTTTTATTTTTACTCTTCACATCTCTACACATGAGGCTATGAGTTTTTCATTTTTTGTTTTTTACTTTTTTATTAATTTATTTTGAATTATCAACAATCACTTCCATAAGCTTTTGAGTTTTAAATTTTTCTCCCCAAACTTCCCCACCTCTCTCCCTAAGATGGCGTGCAATGTGATATAGGTTATACATATACATTCCTATTAAACATTTCACATTAGTGATGTTGTAAGTAAGAATTAGAACCAATAAGAGGAACCACCAGAAAGAGGAAACAAAACACAACAGAAGAAAAAAAAATAGTAAATAGTATCTTCCATCTTCATTCAAACTCCATAGTTCTTTCTACTTTGTGGATAGCATTTTCCATCACGAGGCCTTTGGAGATGTCTTAGATCCTTGTATCCATATTAGTCGTCACACAACGTGGCTGTTATTGTGTACAACGTTCTCCTGGTTCTGCTCACTTCACTCAGCTTCAGGCCATACAAGTCTTTCCAGGAGGCTATGAGTTTTATTGCTGGTTTTCTTACTGGATTTTTGTTTTTTACTAATGATATTCTTCCTATTTCGTACCTAGTGCTCTCTATGGTATCTGGCTTGGTAGGCAAATGTGAGCAGTTTTCTCTTTACCTTTCCCTTTTAAGTTTAAAGCCCTCTAGATTTTCAAGACTCCAGGCAAATATACATTTTACCATTGTTAATTTCACTCCATCCCAGGTCAGAGGCCGATTTTTTTTTTGTTTTAATTTGTTACCAATCAAAAATTACAATTTATTATATATTTGCTACACTTGGTCTACAAAGAAAAAAATCAGTCCAGGATATCAAGAAGGTCCATGGCAAGTGAACTGAGTTCAGTAGGATAGACCTTGCCATTAAAAGACGGAAAATTCTGTATCATGGAGGATTCAGATAGTGGAAATAAGTGTTCATAGTCAAGTGGGGCAGAGTTAAAGTCCTGGAAAAGGTGACTTCTCTGAAGACTTTAGATAGGTGTAACCCTAATGGTCTGGAATTCCATATTTCTATTCATGTGGCCTCTAAGGTCAGTCATGGGGGTACTTGCACTTCTACCTCATGTTTCTCTTACCCTTCAGTCTGGACATTTACTTCTACATTGTAGTATAATCTGAGTTGGAGTATAGGTTAAAATAGGACCAGTAATTCTACAATATTATAGCCAGCCAGCCAACCAACTGAATTAACATCACTTTCCCCCATGCTTTCAACTACAATATTTTACAAAACAAAACTCAAGATACATGGTCTGTTCTTTTTTCGAAGTATCACTAAAACCATATTTTCTCTTGACATATGATCTGCTTTGGAAATCCCGGAGCATCTGCTTATAGAAAGTATGTTATACAACCATTTCTACAACTAAGCAGTGTCTCCACTTCTTCCTTTTGAAATTTGAGGAAAAAATTGCAAGAAGCACTGAATCTTATTGAATCTTCAGGTCATCCTAATCTGGAGCTTTCCCATACCCACATATAGTACTTGTGCCCACTATCTCCCGCTTCTAAGAGTCCATTATTCCATTGTTTTAAGCCAACCCATTATCCAGAACAGAGGTCCAAATCACATTGTCAGACATACTCTTAGTCAGAAGTTCGCTTGCTAAATCTACCTGAAACTCCTAATTTTGATTGGAAATAGTTCAGTGAAAATACTCCCTCCAAGGCCCCAAGATTTCATACCTTTCAAGGGGTACTTTATAGGTTCCTTCTGGTAGTATCCTTTGTGGGACACTGAAAAAACCTGGAATCCACCTCCACTCCACAACTCACCCTGAAGTGGTCCATCTATTTTTTTTAAAGAAAATTTTTTTTTTCAGTTAAAAAAAAACAAAAAACCAACTCAGGCTCTCCACACCTTAATTGTTAGCCTTGAATGTTATATTAAAGTGTTGGTCTTTAGAAGACAATGGGGAACCATTAATAGTTTCTTGGCAATGTAGGGATGTTCATACTTTGTACTAAGATCTACTAGTCTCCCAGTGATATGTAGGATATATTATAGCAGTAAGGTAATATAATTTCTTATTTGAGATAAGAGATTCTGTTAGAAAGGCTATTGCTAGTTCAACAGAGGTAAAGAAGGCCTAAACAACAGATATGAGAGGTTGCAGAGGTAGAATTGATAGGACATGGCATTTTCCTTGAACGTGCAAGTCAAAGAAAAAAGGGAAGTAAAAAAAAAATGAAGTTATTGACCTGAATCACTGAGAATTACAGCGCCAGTAACAACGAAAAGGAACACAATGAAGAAAGGATGACATTTAATTTTCAGACAAATTGAGTTTTAGGTGTTAGTGGGATGTAGCAGTTGGGAATGTGTTTGAAACTTGGGGATGAGGTCAGGCCTAGAGAGAAGATTTCAGTGAATGAGCTATCACCTAGAGAGATGTGTGTGGCTAAGGGCAGAGCCTTACAGTGGTATCTTAGAAACCAAATTAAATTAACTAAAATTTTAGCTCTAGATTTTTTTTTTTGGTTGTTATTTTGGTGTGTGACTATGCTTCATTAACAAATTTTTCCTTGGTGCAAAGAGCTTCAGTTTCACATCATCAACGTAGTGCATCATTGGACATTTTAGACACCACTATTCTTCCAATCTCCCAGGTTCATAATGTTGTCATTTTTCTTTATTCTTCACTCTCATTAACCCCAAATATGCAGTAAGTTGCCAAATCTTGTCATTTCTATCTCTAGATTAGAGATGTTTTTTTTTTACCTAAGTTCAACAAGACACACACACACACACACACACACACACACTCACACTTTAGACTGCCACATTAGTTCAAATCCTGGTCATTTCTTGTCTAGACTACTGTAATGGATTCCTAGTTATTTTCCCTGACTCAAGCCTCTTCCTCACTCCAATCTCCACAAAGCTTCCAAAATGATTTTTCAGTGCATCTGACCAGGCCACTCCTCTACTCAATAAACTACAATATTCCAGTATTACCTCTAGAACATAAACTTGTTTTGGTCTTCCAAATTCATTAGACATTACTCCCCTTTCTTCACTCTATGCCCCAGTTACACACTATCCTCTCTCTTATCTTAATGCCTTTGCACTGGCAGCCCTTGGGAAAACACTCTTCTCCCCCACTCTCCTTTCACAGAATACCTTCCTTCAAGTACTTTCTACTTGAAGACTTTCTTGATCCCATCAACTACTAGTGCCCTACCTATCTTGTATGTATTTTGTATTTATTCTGTATATATTTGTTATTCTGTATAAACTTATATGTGTACAGGTTGTTTCCCCTAATAGAATGCTAGGTCTTTGAAAGTGATTACATTATTTTGTATTTGTATCAGCAGTGTCCAACACATAGTAGATGGTCAATAAATGCTTACTGATTACAGGAATTTTGAAGATTAGACAGTTTTATGGAGAAAATTCAAACTTCCCAATTTCACATCAGTATTTTAAATGTAAAATGTTCCTATTTTAAATATAAGTAAGCTAAGGCTAAATATTATTAGGTGTCAGGTATGTTCCATTCATTTGGACCAAGCAAAAAAGATGAACAGAATTAACTTATCTAAGTTGAAGCACATGGCCTCTCTTAAATGATCAGACAGCTATTTTAAAATATCCCTAGCTTACCCCTATTAATAAAAGCCACCAGTCATTTATTCATTCAAGTAACATTTATTAGGAACCTACTAAGTGTCTTGCACTGTCTCTTGTGGCTGGGAATACAAAGACACTCCCATCCCCAAAAGTCCTTATCCTTCAGAAAAAGTTATTCTGGGGGTTCTGCTTAATTAAACGTTGCAAATTACTATTAGTCCACAAATTGTTTACATAACATTGGGTCCCCAGGCTAAAAGTGTTAGTACAATAAATTAAATCAGCATTCTTTTCAACTTCCCTGACACAAACTGTTCTCATTGGGTTCACTTGATAACCTGCTCCTTCCAAAGCTTGTCTTTTGGACCAGACCTGTGATTCCGTCATTGTTACAGAGCTCCCGAAGAACTGTACGATCTTAAGAGTTGTTGGGGGAACAATGACTTGTTAAATGACTTGTCCAGGGTCACACAGCCAGCATAGGTGTCGGAAGCAAGCCGTTAACCGAGACTTTCCCGAGCCCGAGGCCGCCCAGCCCTCATCCGCCCCCGCTCAAGGTCACCCCTTTCCAAAGACCGAAGCGCGTAAATTTGAGGTGCAACCAGAGTTCGGGGTAAATACAGAGTGCGATAAACCCGCCCCCTACTCCGCCTGCTAATGGTAGGTGTACACACCATCTTCATTATCTCGGCCGACCTCCGCAGGAAGCTGGTGCTCCCCCGTGGCCCCCCGAAACAGGCGAACCCCCCCACCCCAGTCTCCTCCGCCCGGCCCCTCCCGTCTGTGCGCGTGCGCAGTGGGATGGGGGGAGGCGCCCCGAGCGAGAGTCCCCGTTGCCTGGATACGGCGCGAAACAATCGCGACTCTAGACCGTGACCGGGGGCCGGGTTTGGGGGGGTGGTCTCGAGGGTCCGCCGTTGGTCCTCATTTCCAGTGGATCAGGAGGAGCCGGTAAGAGTTACCCCAACACCCCCGGTCCTCCGGATGAGTCCGAGCGCCGCAGCCTGACGTCCCTGTGCCGCGGAGCCCCCCATTCCCGGGGAGGAGGAGGCTCCCCCGGACCTCGAGCCAGTAGGGGAGCACCTGCGGGTCCCGGCCTTCGCAGAGCCGGAGAGGTTGGGGGCAGTAATTAATGTTCAGTAGTTTTCAGTTGTGTCCGACTCTTCCTGACCGCATTTGAGGTTTTCTTGGAAAAGATACTGGAGCGGTTTGCCATTTCCTTTTTCAGCTCATTTTACAGATAAGGAAACTGAGCAAACGGTTAGGTGACTTGTCTAGAGTCACACAGCTAGTGTCAGAGGCCGGATCTGAACTCAGGAAGATGAGTCTGCCTGACTCCAGGTTGGGCGGTGGGGAGGCTTTAAAAAAAAAAAAAGTACTAAGCTCTATCCTCTCCCTACTGAGTGGTTTAAAATCCTGCTTTTTGTGATTCCTACCTTCCTTCCTCCCCTCCCCAAATGCCTAGGAACCTTTGCTTTGCAGCTCCCTCCCTGTCCTCCCCCCCCCAAAAAAAGTCTCTCCCCGAAAGACCTCAGGATAACTAAATCACACTGGTAAATATGATCCTCCTTTTACAGCATGTAGAGCAGTGAGCCTCTTAACTATCTCCGTAGAACATCTTGTTTTATTTTTCTTTTCAAGCTCGGGTTGCTAAACTCCTGAAGAATCATGCCTCTTCCAGATACTATGTTCTGCGCCCAGCAGATTCATATACCCCCAGAACTTCCAGATATCTTGAAACAGTTCACCAAAGCTGCCATTAGAACTCAGCCAACCGATGTGTTACAGTGGTCTGCAGGGTAAGCCCGTCACCTCTAGAGACGCCTAAACGCCTCTGCTTGCTTGGCTTGGGGTTTTGTTTGAAATCCTTAATGTTTCAACAAAGGAACTCTCAAGTCCTGTTAAGAAATGGTTACTGTGCAACATGTTGTAACTGTTTTCTTTTGTAAAAGTTATTTTTAGTGAAAAAGAGTTTTTATTCCCCCAAGGAATAGGATTTTTCTCTGGAAAGGAACTGTTCACAATTTTGAGGCGACAGAGATGTCTAACATTCTGCCTGTGATTGGTCCTCCCGAACTCGTGCTAAGAGAGACTCCTCCCTGATTGGCTACTCCATTGTCGGGTCTATGTGTGATGGGAAGTGATTGGAGGAGAGCTCGAAAAGAGAAATTTACAAACCCACAGAATGTTAAGACCGTCTAAGCTCAAGTAACTTTGTGACGAGTTCTTGAAGTTTTGTGGGGTGGGAGGATATTTATGTACAATAATGATATTATAATAAGCCTCTCTCCACATCAAAAGTTCACCTTAGAACGTGTCCTTCTTTACTTTACTGCACAAGCATCCACTTAGTCTGGGATTTAGTGGTCAAACATCCTGCTCAATGTCCTGTTCGTGCTGCTTTCTGATTGGCTGGCTATTGTGCACTTGTCTAAATCTAGATGAACGTGGTTGACAGAACTGCTGTTCTAGTGAGACAGTGAGGCATATAAAGAAGTTGGAATATTGGGGGTGGGCGCAGTGGCTAGATTGGGGGTTGGGGCAGTTGCCATCAAACGGATAATGCTAAATCACTAGATCAAAATCTGTTCCCTTAACAGGAAGCGCGTTTTTCTTCATATCCAAGAAGCACTGTGATCAATGCTTTTTGATTTATATTGACTAAACTTTTTTTTTGTTCTTTTTATTATAATACCTCATTTTATTCATCTGTAAGATGGGAACTGAAGAATTTCTAATTGGTACTATGTATGTATATGGTTTAAACCTCATTTTAGTTTTGAAGGGGTACTTTATGCTTTCACTAGTGTAGGTAATTAGACAAGCAATAATTTACAGTCTTAGAGAGTTGGGGGAGGGGAGGGGTGGGTGTTAAAGACATGGTTCAGAGACAGGACTTGAACCCAGGTTTTTCTAACATCAAGGCAAAGACCTTTTATCCATTTATGCTAACTAGCTCTCAAACCTTCTAAAAGTTTATATAAATTATGTATTCCAAGGATTATTACCTAGTTTTACCCCCTTATCCAAAGACTTATATTTTCTTGATTCTATTGATTGTGTTCAGCAGCACTTAAAGATAAATAAACCTCTTTTCAAGTTTAACTTTAATTTCAAATGTAAAATTAAGAAACTTATCATAATGATTCTTAACACTAACATCTTTTAAGCACAGTTTTAGTTTTGAAGTGAACTTCAAAAACTTAAAATAGTATTACTCTGTGGCCAGTTCCAGACAGAAGCTTGTAACATAAAAGTGTCTTAGATGATGGAGAATCAAAACAATTTTAATTCCTTTCCATCAGCCAAGTTTGCCTATCCTATTTAAAAGTACTTCCCAGAAAAGTTAGTTTCAGTTTCAGTTTATTTTTCATTAAAATTGTAGCATTTTGCCTTTTTTAGTTTTGTCCTCTGTTCTTCCACTAAAATTAATTTTTAATGAAAGATGTGTAAAATTCCTATCAGTAGTGGAGAAAAGTCATTTTATCTTATTGTTTCTTTTACAATTTATCAATTTTTAGTTTTTAACATTCACTTCCATAAGATTTTGAGTTTTAAATTTTCTTCCCCTGCCTCTCCTTTCCCTTCCCCAAGATGTCATGCAATCTGATATAGGCTCTACTTATACATTCATATTAAACATATTTTCACATTAGTCATGATGTAAAGAAGAATTAGAACTGATGGAAGGAACCACCAGAAAGAAGAAACAAAACAAAACAACAAAAGAAAAGGAGAGCAAATAGTATGCTTCCATCTGCATTCAGACTCCAAAGTTCTTTCTCTGGATGTGGATAGCATTTTCCATCATGAGTCTTTTGGAGATATCTTAGATCCTTGCGTTGCTGAGAAGAGCAAAGTCTATCAAAGTTAGTCATTGCACAATGTGACTGTTACTGTGTACAGTGTTCTGGTTCTGCTCATTTTACTCAGCATCAGTTCATATAAGTCTTTCCAGGTTTTTCTGAGGTCTGCCTGCTCATCATTTCTTACAGCATAACAGTATTCCATTACATTCATGTACCACAACTTGTTCAGCTATTCCCCAGTTGATGGACATCCTCTCAATGTCCAGTTCTTTGCCACCACAAAAAGAGCTGCTATAAATATTTTTGTACATGTGGGTCCTTTTCCCATTTTTATGATCTCTTTGGGATACAGACCTAGAAATGGTATTGCTGGGTCAAAGGGTATGTACATTTTTATGGCCCTTTGGGCATAGTTCCAAATTGCTCTCTAAAATGGTTGTTTCGGTTCACGACTCCACCAGCAATGCATTAGTGTTCCAAATTTTTCCACATCTTCTCCAGATATTTATCCTTTTCCTGTTTTGTCATATTAGCTAATCTAATAGGTGTGATGTGGTGCCTCAGAGTTGTTTTGATTTGCATTTTTCTCATCAATAGTGATTTAGAGCATTTTGGAAAAAGTTATTTTAAAAGTTTTGTGTGTGTGTGTGTGTGTGTGTGTGTGTATGATGTAATATTACATCACCTTGGAGTCTATTATTTTAGGTAATGTCATTGTGAGGTATGGTTGACTAAAGGACTCATATCTCACAACACTCCTGAAGCTTTGGTTGATGGGTTGGTGAAGTAATAAAAGATGGGTTTTGATGTATTTGCTGATACATCATAGAGAATAATACCTGAGTATAAAAAAGTGTATAACTGCTAGTATTGCAGATGTCATTGGTGATGGATTTTACAAGTTATGTTAGGTAAAATCTATGAAACAGAAGAAAGCATAAATAAAAACATCATGATACAAAAATAGGCCAACATCTTTAAATCATCTTTGTAAATAGAATTTTTCAGGCCCTAAGATATTAAAAAATAATTTTGACCACAAATTCTTAAATAAACTCTACTTATTTACCAATGTTAATCTTTTTCATTCCTTCTATTGGAGTCAGAAGACCTAAGGTTGTGGCTTGGCCCTGCCATTTACCTGGATAACCTTGGTTAAATCATTTTACTCTTCTATAAAAATGGAAGTGTTTTAATTCCTCCTAATGCTCCTTGTATTATAAGGATTCAATGGTCACAAGAGCTATTAGGAGAAAAAATAGAATTCTATATGATTGTAAGTCTGTTACCTGAATTCCGTGAGGTTTTTTTGTCTGGGCCATATAGCAAGATAATGTTATTTCATACATGAGTACTTTTAAGTCTCTTTTCAAGATAGTGCTGAAATGAATTAGGTTCAAGAAATCAGTTACATTTGTTACATGTACCAAAGGGCAGCAAAGAAGCCATCCTGTCTGCACACACTTAGTCTTAGCCAGTGTTATGACCACCTCTTAACTACTCATCCTCTTCCCTAGAGCTTGGCAACCAGTTTCCCAGTTGGCTGAGTTTGTGTTAGTTCTTTGAGTCCATTGAGAAAAGTTTAAAACTTCTGAGTCCCTATTTGTTTTAGAAAGGAAGAATGAAGGGGATTGATGGGAAATGGTAGAGAATTGTGATTGTTGGGGAGTGAGGAACGGGCAAGTAGATTAAAATGTTTTTCTTCAGACCCAGGTGGTAGCATCCAGCCTTATGATTATCACTAGTTCATTAACAGGAAACCTGCTTGATTTGGGGATACTATGAAATGAAAATGATAAAAATAGGAAACCTGCCATTAATATATTAGTATTAAAAAAAAACTTCATGAAAGGGTGAAAAGAGGAGAAATTCAACAAAATGAGAAATTCAGAACAACAGTGCAACCACTCGAGAGCCCAGACTAACTAGACTTGATGCTTTAGATCAGGGCTTCTTAAACTTTTTTCCACTGTCGATCTCTTTTCCAGTATGGCAGCGTGTTGGGGATGCATGGCCTGAGGGCACATACAGTGCAAAGTGTCTGCAGTGAAATTGTATAATGCAACGGGGTAAGCACTGCCAGAAACACCTTGGATTCATTCCGTGTTTGATTTTGAATTGTTTTTTGGTCGTTGCACATTCAGAAACCTTTTACTGTTGCCACATTTTTTCGTGCTCCCATATAGGGTTGAGACCCACAGTTTAAGAAGCACTGCTTTAGATAACGAATGTCAAATAGGTGACCTGTTAGCCATATGAGGCCCATGAAACTCCTGAGTATAGCCTGAAGCACATTAAACTGTAATCGGAAAATATTTAATGAAATAAATAAAAATGCAATGAAACATAGATAATATTACATTTTTAAATGTCAGTATGTGGTCAGTAGGGATCCTTATGTACACTTTAGTGGCTTCTATTTCTATTTTAGTTTAACACCACTGCTTTAGATTGATGTAGAGCCTGGATGAAAAGTTTTAGTTACATTTTTAGCTAACAATGCATTCATTCATGTCTTACCTTTTTAGAAGCACTCACAAAATTATTTTAAGAAACTAACTCATTTATATTATAAATATTGATCTAAGATCCTTCTTTACTGTTAGGTATTTTTCAGCTTTGTCAAGAGGGGATCCCCTTCCTGTGAAGGAGAGAGTTGAACTGCCAGTGGCTACCCAAAAAACAGATACAGGATTGACAAGAGGACTCCTTAAAGTTTTACACAAGCAGGTACAAAAAACCTGTTTTATCCAACCAACAACTAAGTAGTGCCCCTGCCCCAACACTTTTTTTTAACCTATATAATGGAGTAGCATCTTTGTACTGTAGTTCTAATACTATTTCTATAGTTTAATTTTCTAGTTCTTCAAACCAAATCCACCTAAGTGTACTATAAGTGATTGACGCCATCCAGAAACATTAATGAATTCTGTTTTCACATCCAACAAATTTTGAAAGTTTATTTGAAGAGGAAGCATATGTAATTAATATAAAATTACCTCCTGTGCTTCAAGTTTATATGATTCACCATTAGGTTCCCCTGAGTAGGATTACTCATTATCATCTAAATCTTAATATTGCCATTAGTTCATGTACTGGATACTCTTTTTTTTTATTCAGTGGTTTTTCTATGAATAAAGTTACAACTCATCTTCTAAATTATTTATTCCCTTAAACTTTTGAACCATGTTTCCAATGTTGACTAAAATAAATGTAGCACATTTAAAAGGAAGTTGTTCAGTACTGTAGTCTCTAAAGTTGAAATGTTCTGATCTTTATTTTTGTCAGAGGTGATCTTAAAAAGCTCTTCCAATTATTTTTTTCTCCTAGGAAGTGAAAATGGTTTTAATGCCTCATAGATAAGAGTAAGGTTGTATGTAACCCATGTGGCACAGTACCTTGCCAAGTTCTCTGGGTTTTACACAGACTAAATGCAATCTTGGGAGTGGACCTCAAAAATCACATTTCTTCTGAAAATGTTTCCCCCCCCACCATCCATCTAATCAGGAAAAGTACCATCTCCTTTAGGACCACTACTTTGGGAAACTTTGGCATATGGTCCTCAATCTGTTTTTGGAGGTCTCTAGGAAATAGATAGTTACTTCATAGGCATAAAGAATAACTGACAAAGTGAATCATGTTTCTTCACCTAAAGTCTTCATTTCACTTTAGAAAGGATCTTTCTGTAGAAATATTATCTTAGAGTGAAACAAAGCTTCCATAATTATTATTAACTGGCCTTTGTACCTGAAACTTCTGGATATAATAATCTTAATTCTTTCTCACATCTTTTGAAGTATTTTACTTTTGAGAAATAGAGGTTTATAATAGAGGAATAGAGGAATTATGAGAATAAGATTCCTTTGTGTGTCTTTGGGAAAACTACTTCAGCTCTCATGGCTTCCATTCCCTCCCTGTAATGAAGGAGGTTGAATTAAATCATCTTCAGTGTCTCTTCTAATTCTAAGTCTCATCTTAAAGACATATATTATTATGAGTTTCTTTTAATTTTTTCACACATGAAACAGAACTCGATTTTCCTAGAATATTTGAAATTTAGAATGCCAAAAATTATTTTTGTTTAAAACTGCTTTCTAATCCTAGTCTACATGATTTTAATTTTACATTTATATTTCTTAAAGCTTGCTCACAAAGGCACTGTGGATTTAAAAGAACTTCAGGATAAATGGAAAACTCTGTGCTTGCCAGTCGAAACACTGAAATTCATTCTCAAAATGGATCCTGTTGAAGACGCAGTAGAATGGATGAAATTTTTTTCACTTGGCTGTAGTGCATTGGGTGGGGTAGGTATCCACAAGAAAGCATGTTAATAACTTGGTATAAGACAGCTAAAAGGGAGGGAAGAGAAGAAAATAAGCAGTTACATAATGTCAGAGACTATGTCAGATACTATGCTAAATGCTTTGCAACCACCATCTTGTTTGTTCCTCACAATTACCCTAGGAATAGGTGCTTTATTATCTTCATTCTACAGCTGAGGAAACCAAAGAAAACAGAGGCTAAGTGACCTGCCCAGGGGTACATAGCCAGTAAGTGTCTGAGACTGTATTTGAACTCAGCTCTTCCTAACTGCAGGCCCAGCACTTTAATCCCCTGGGCCACCTGGCTGCTTCTAAACATCTCCAAACCATTAAAAACATCTCTGACAATTAATTTATGACTTTGAATAAGTGAAACTGAAAAGCACTATGACCATTTTGATAATTTTGTTCCTGACCTATAATTTTCAGTTTATAGTTTTATTTCCACCCCTCTAAAGGCCTGCTCTGATGTGACTCATTGTAGCATGGCAGTGACCTGGCTTGTTCAAAGGCTATGCCAGGGCTTTCAAATGTGAGACTGGTGGTATAAGTCTATCTTCAAGGACCAGCCTCACTAAATTTGGAGGATCTCATTAACAGATTGGCCCCAGGGCAAATACGTTTCTTGATCATATCAATTCTTAGCTATAATAAAGTTGTGATCTCCATTGGGGGAGGTGAGTATCTATGAAATCACCAGTAAATTTTAAGTATTGAAGTGTATGTATGGCACAATCCTTTTAAATTCAGTGACATTAGTTAAATGTATTTTCTAAAAAACCCAATACTTACAGGTGCAGGAAAAATGTTGGTTAAGTTTAAAAAAAAAACCCTCTGTATTACTGTTATATTAGAAAGATTTGGTTTCCAGTGGTATGTGTACCTTTAATTAGGAGTAAAGTCCTTGCACATCATTTCATGTGTTACCTATTCTGTTTTTCATGCTTTCCTCATTTGTAAAGGAAGCATGGAATAATGATACTTTAATACCTTAATCAAATAAACTACAATAAGTGATTTTAAAATGTTTTACAGTTATAATGTAAAAATATCAGTCAATTAGTCAATAAACATTTATTAGGCACTTACTATATGCTAAGTGCTAGGGATACAAAAAGAAACAAAAGACAGTCTCTGCCTTCAAGGAGTTCACAATCTAATGGGGACAAAAAGCAAAAAACGAGTCCAAACCAGCTATATGCAGTATAAATAGAAGGTAAGTGACAGGGAAAGCACTGGAATTAAAAGAGGTTAAGAAAAGTCTTCCTGTAGAATATGAGATTTAACTGGAACTTGAAGGAACCTGGGGAAGCCAGGAGGCAGGGATGAGGAGGGAGAGAATTCTGGGCATGGAGGCAGCCAGAGAGAATGATAAGAGCTGAGAGATATGTCTTGGTGCATAAGCAAGGGGAGGCCATTGTCACTGAATCAAAGAGTAAGTGGCAGGGAGTAAGGTTTAAGAAGACTGGAGGGGACCGGGTTAGTTATGAAAGGCTTGGAATGGCAAACAGTATTTTATATTTGATTCTGAAGGCAATCAAATGAAGTTTATTGGGGGAGTGACATGGTGAGACCTGCGCTTTAGGAAAATCATTTTGGTGACTGAATGGAGGATAGATTGGACTGCGGAGAGGCTCAAGGCAGGCCAACCCACCAGCAGGCCACTGCAATAGTGGCATGAAGGTGATGAGGGCTTGCACCAGAATGGTATGTCATGGAGGGATGTTGCAAAGGTGAAAATTGATGGGCCTTGGTAACAGATTGTATATAAGGAGTGAGGGATAGTGAGGAATCCAGGATAACTCCAAGGTTGTGAGCATGTGTTGCCCTCTACAGTAATAGGGAAGATTGGATGGGAGGTGGGGTGTGGGATAGGGCTAAACCCTATCCCCTAAAGGGAAAAGATAATGAATTCAGTTTTGGACATGTTGGATATCCACTTTGAGAGGTCTAAAAGGCAGTTGGAGATACAAGGCTGGAGAGCAGCAGAAAGATTGGGGCAGAAAAGGTGTATTTGAGAAATCATCAGCATTGAGATAATATTTAAATCCTTGGGAGCTGATGAAATCACCAAGTGAAGTAATACAGAGTGAGAAAAAAGAGGACCCAGGTTAGAGACCTGTGGAACATCTATGGTTTGAGGGCATAGGTGTCTCACTTAACACATAAACAAAATAATGGTAAGTTCTAGTTATAATTATGTTCAAGTAACTTTTATATTTCTTGGATGCCCACAAAAGAAGTTGTTAAGGAGGTAAGAGGGGGCTAGAAAGGAGAATTTAAAAACCCTTTGCAAAGGGGAATTTCAAGTGACAGAAGATGGAGGGAGAGATATTTGAGATGATAGTGTGGTTAGTGAAGGATGATGCTTATTTAGGAGTGTGTGGGACAACGCCCACACTAGAATTAAAAGTTTGGAGACTGAGTCAGAGATCAGAAAAGGTTTTATTCTTTCTCATGAGAAAGGGCACAGCCCTCGTCGCTGCTTGTGACAGCCAGGGAGCGCAAAGTCTGTTAGTGGGGAACAAAGTTTTATGGTCCTAACACAATACCCCCTCCCCATTCCTGAACCCTTCTTCCCATTGGCTGGGTTTCAAGGTGCACAATCTAAACGAGGCTTTCTAAAACCCTTATTTGGAAATATTTGCCTAGAGACAAAGAATCAGGAGGACTTTTGATAACCATTTAGAAGTTCTGCCTAGAGACAAAGAATCTGGAGGACTTTTGATAACCATTTAGAAGTTCTGCCTAAAGACAGATAAGCAGGAAGCCTCTGGAGGTCAGGCTAGCAATCTTTTGCAATATTTTTCTTGCAAGAGGGGATGGAACACAGGTCAGCAGCTCTTGTTTCTTTGGGAGTACCAAGGGAATTTATGAGTTTGGGTACTGAGGAAACTTCATCCTTCTCACTCAGGGGTAGTATTAAGAAGAGATAATCTGTTCATATATAGATGAGACAACTATGAAACTCCAAAAGGGAAACATGACTATGATTAGTCAAGAGAGAAAAGCCAAAGAGTGTGAATGAAAAACATTTTTGACCTTGGCACAGCTACTTCTGGTTATGGGTTTGTACTGTAAACTTGGACATGGTGGTATAACAAAATTCTCCAACTGCTGGCCCAAGAAGCTTCTGGTAACTGACAAGGTAAATTCTTGGTATGTCCTTGTTACAAGTTCAGTAGAGGATCAGAATATGCCATTGAGACATCTCACTAAATATTATATGGAAGGACGTACACAAGAAAGTGAAATCAATTCTTAGAGGAAACCACCCACTTGCCCACTCACACCCAACCACACACACCCCTCCACACAAATACAAGCAGTTATATTAATCTGAAACTTTTAATTATGGAATTTAAAATTTAATTTCTAGTGATTAAAAAAGTAATAAATTTCATACTTTACATGTATCTCCCAATTTTGAAAATCAAAAACTAAATAAAAAACAAAATTCTTTGTGAATCTATTTTGGAAAATATTCACCCACTTAAATGTTTAACACTAGATGGCGTCATTTTGTCATGGATAAAGCTACACTTTTATCAGTTGGTGGTTAATAATATACTTTTAATGCCTACTTGGCAAATGAGTTCATTGAGTTAAAGGAGAGAAGAAGAGAGTATTCCCTCTGCTCAAATGTGTTAAGATTAGATTATGCCATTGAGGAGGCATATCACCAGGTATTATCTAGAAGGAAACTTTAACGTCTTTGCAAACCTTAAAGCAAAGCTTTGTATAATATCAGTAACATTGTTATTTAGTAACTGTTGCTTTTGAATAGTGGGATGCATTTTTCCTTATTAGTTGAGATATACATATTTTTCCTTATCTCTTCCCCCAATTATTTGTTTTTATTCTAATTAGATGAAATTTAATAGGGATAAATACAAAATTAAACATTCAGGTACCCAAAATTGACTTCACAAGAAAATATAGGAGTGGTAGCTCAGTTAGACAGCAGTTTGAAAAAGCTGGGGGGACGGCATTCTAATGGACCCCAAGCTAAGTGAAAACCAGAAAGTTAACATGTTCTTGGGCTACATTGAGAAATGAAGCCTCACTTCCAGGACTTAAGTGGCAATATTCTTTCTGTACTCTGCTGTGGTTAGATCACATCTAGAGCATTGTGTTGTGCTTTGAACACCACACTTTAGGAAGTCAGTGATAAGTTGAGAACCATCCAAAGGATATCAACTAGAATGGTACAAGGGCCAGTTTTGGGCCTTAATCCTAAAAGGATTAACAGTTGAAGGAACTAGGGGAGGCACAATAGACTTGTTTCCTTTGACATCACAGGGCAGAGCTAGGAGCAGAGGGTAAAAGTTACAGAGGCAGATTCAGGCTTGATATGAAGGAAAATATCCTGTCAATTAGAGCTATCCAAAGTGGAATGGGCTGGGCTTCCTGGCATAGGGCATCACAGCACTTGTTTGGGGTATGCTGTTGTAGGAATTCTCTCTCAATTTTGGGTTGTACTAGATGACCATTGAAGTCCCTTCCAACTCTGAAATTCTGTAATTCTGTGATATGTTGCTAGAAAATATATTTAAATGATTTATCTTATTTATTTACAAATTTAGATGGTCCCTACCCCACTGCCCACCAGTCTGGGTAAATACCACATACTTTGGAGCCATGTAAATTCAACTTGTTTGATGATAGGACTTTAAACTCTTCATATTCATTGAGTTCAGTCACTACTTTGAACTAGCAATGACACTAGTTATGCCATCTCCTGGTTGAGAATGCTTGCCTTTTTTTTTTTTTTTTAATGCCCTGACCTAGGAATGAATTTTATATTTTTAAAAATAAAATAAAACTTTCAATATGTAAAAACTATTCTTGGCTTGCTGGCAATACAAAAACAGGCTGTGACATGGATTATACCCCTGGACTAGAGAATGTGAACACTAGCCCATGTGACTATACAGTCTTACTTTTATATGGTGGCTAGACATGCAGTGAACTTTGATTGA